CCTTCACTTAGGGCGGGCACGAGGCTTGCTGGGGCCTTAGCCCAGAACATGTACATCATGGCAAGGCCCCTTCTTGAGGGCTCAATCCTCACATGACCCAGTAATGGTCCTAAGTCCCTCACTGCATAAAGCATCAAGAAACACCCGGAGTCGTATGTACCATGACAGACATTTGGAAGGTCAAACAGAGGCAATTACCTAAGGGCCGCTAGATAATAAACTACCGGTCCAGGTGATCTTATTCTTCACGCAACGGATGTCAAAGCAATTTAAAACATAGTTGCCATGCAAATCAGATGAGCTAGAGTTAAGAGTGCCACAAATCATAGCTGTTAATGAAGTTTTCAGGACGAGACCATCTCACACACACTTTCATAGGGCCATACATCCAGCTGGGACACAGAAGACAGCTACCATCTCAGCGAACTACCCTAATCTCACTACAGTGGCAACCGCACCGCGTATTCTCCGGCCAATCAGTTCTTCTTGCCACTCAGCTCTCCAAAGGTGATTAAAACTGAAGCCTACCTGGATCTGGCTGACAGGGCTATCTACCACACTCCAACAGACTCTACAGACAATCTGCACCTTTTTTTTTTTTTTTTTAATATAAAAAAACAGGTCCTTATGGCCCTGGCTCCATTTCCATTCTGGGGAGCATCAGTCCGGTTCCTATTCCACCGGCAAGTCAGGAAAAATAAATACATCATAGATCATAGAACACCCTCACGCTTCCTTCCGTCAGGCCGAAGGAGCCCTGAACAGCATTGATTACTCCAACACCGTGGACGATTGACTGTCAGTTTGCCCAGCTTCCACCTTTCCTCTCAGGACTACTATAAGCACCTGCCAGATACAACATGAATAGCAAGAAAGGTCCGGGAAGGTACACCTGCTGCCAATTCTGTCCAAACCCTAAACCCTGCATATGAGCCTCATGAAATTCCTCGCATTCTAACCCCTGCTTGTCTTGTTTCTCTCTAAACCCTAACCCTAAACCCTAAACCATAACCAAGATTAATCTATTTTGCTAGGCTGCACCGGCGCCCGGCCGGGCGGACCCCGGCCGGTTGGGCCCGGGGGGGTCCGCCCGGGTGAACCGGGCGACGCAAAAACAGGGCCAGGAATTTTTTTTTTTTTTTTTTCTGATGGTGGGGCTGTGCTGCGCTGCACCAGCGGACCCCGAATCCGCAATAAAAAACTGAACTGGGGGG